TTCTCTCAGAGCTCTCTCAGCCCCACCTACCTCACAGGGTGCCTGTTGTGGGGAGAGGAAGGGAAGGCAATCCTAAGATGCTTTGAGACTCCTTCGTGTAGTGAAAAGCTCTGCTGCTGCTTCTTCTTCTTCTTCTTCCTTTTTCCTTTATTTTTAAATGTGAGGATTTCACCTAAAGGGCACTAACTGTTCCACGTGGATTTTTCCTCCGCCTTGGCTTCCTTACATCAACGCCATTTTGGGAAACATTCATATGATATCATCTTCTACTCACCCTGCTTCTGTGTTTCCCTCCGCCATGCTGCAGTCTTTCCCAATTCTAGGCCCCGGTCACACGAGAGGTTTTGGGCAGGGAGAGGGACGGATCGGGGGCGCAGCAAACGGGCGCGATCCCACAGCAACATCTGGGAAGCGTGGCGCGCCTGTTCCCGATCCGGCCCTTCCACCCAAAACCCCGCATCAAAAATAAATCACCTACCTAGGTAGTTCTTCGGGAAAGGGCGCATCAAGGCCGGCCGTGGGATCACCGGTGCGTCCTTCCGCCGGCTCATCCCCGGCTCCTGGCTGAACTGCGCATGCTCAGACATGCGCAGTTTGGCAGCCTCCCCCTCTCGACTGTCGCTTCCTCCCCGGCATCTGATCGTACCGGGGAGCAATGGCGCCACGGCTCAGGGGATCTGTGGGATCCCGCCACGGCGTCTCTATTTTGGTGCGGCTTTTAAAAGCCGCACTGCCCGTTTTTTTTCCTGCCGTGTGGCAGGGACCTTAGAAAGATTGCAGTCAAAATGCTTTTGGACATTGTGGATGGAAAGGTGTGCGTTGTTGCAGGTGCCACCCACATCGGTGTCACTTTCCTCATCTCACCCTCCACAGTGCCCATTTCCCCCACAACAATACACACATCAGATTATTATAGCACAGTAATGTTATAACAATGTCCTAGTTCACAGCTTTATTTTTTAAAAAATCTCTAGCCCTTTTGTTGTGGTGTTATAAGAGGACACGTGTATTGTGCATAATGTTGCCAGGATTCCAAAATGTGTGGAAATGACAAGACACACACACACACACACACCCATGAAAACTGAGAAGTAGTCATTGTTCCAATAGATAGTTATAATGTTAATACAGCGATCTGTCAATTCTCAATTCTTTTTTTAAAAAAGCCCAGTGAACAAGTGGTCTGGGTTGGGAGAAAAAATATTTCAAATGATAAAGCCCTATTTTCCATAAAACACATAGCCCCCACCTCCCGTTTAAACTACATAGACAAATTAATCAATATATTTGGATGCCCCTTCGTGTCAAATTTGAGCAGTCAAGAAATCTAATGAAATAAATGAATAAATAAATGACCCTAATATGGCAGTATTCTGTCTCTCTCTCTGTCTCTCTGTCTCTCTGTCTCTCTCTCTCTCTCTCTCTCTCTCTCTCTCTCTCATCTTCTGGAGCTTCACTTCTTCCTTTGTCTTTGCCACTGGTTTCGTTAACTCCCCCACATGGACTTAGCTAAGTGAATAATTTGGCACCTTCTGCTCTCAGTTTTTCCTGAGCAGGTTTATGGTAAGGCTCTGGGTTATTTGTGCTTGCTGCTGAACTGCTTCTTAGGTGCCTTTGGCTTTAGGGTTCCCAGGTTCCCCCCTAGCCACCACCAGGAGATTTGAGTGGGGCACAGTGCCACAGAGTCCACCTGCCGAAGCATCCGTTTTCTCCAGGGGAACTGATCTCTGTAATCTGGATATGAGCTGTAGTTCTGGGGGGTCTCCAGGTCCCACCTGGAGGCTGGCATCCCTATTTGGTCTCCACCTACAGAGTCCTTCCAGTGGTTTTGCCCCCCTTCATGAACATGCCCCTTGTAATGAAACAGACACATGATTACCGATTCTTCCTTTCTTGTGCAGGTGGATGAGTGAGCATTTAGGTCTTGCTGTTTACAGTGCTGTATCTTTGAAGAACTGCATGGTCAGACACTACCCAGATGACTCTCGTGTAATGTTGAGAATTGGCAATACTGCAGTTCAGAAGACACAAAGATATAGCCAGCCCCCTTCCTTGCCGGTGCGGCTCAGACATGTGGCACTCCTGAAAAACAAATCTGTAGCAAATACAAGTGAAGTTACTGAACGGGTTTTTGTCCCCCAAGAAGACATTGCAAGATATCTGCCCCGCTAAAAGCAGTCACTTCCCGTTCCCTCTCCCTTTCCCTCCTCTCCACCCCACTCTCCCACATGTGCTGACACAGCAACTCCTCCCCCTCCTGCTTTTCTCCCCCCCCCCCCAATGTAGTTACCTTGCTATTTCCTTTTCAAATTGAAAACTATTATGAGGGTTTAGCCTAATACTAAAAACCCATAGTTATAAATTTTTCACCCATTATTTCTAGTTCCATCCTTCTTTTTCTTATCCCAGAAGTTATTTCATGCAAGGCTTGGAAGGGGAAGAAGCATTCAGAAACTTTCCCAGGCAGATGGGTCTGGTGTCAAGGTTATAATAAAGAAGTTCTGTTTTCCTGGTCCACATGAAAGTGTGTCGCTGGAGGGTGGGTAAGCCCTTTGAGAAACAGTCGGTATGGCAGCACTTTCAGAGCTAAAGCATGGTGAATACAGAAAACTGCATCTTCTCTTTCTCCCCCCCTCTCTCTCCTGCTTTAATGCAATGTGCCTCCTGAGCTTAATTCTTTTTAATGGTTATTTAATTACTTAGGCTGTGGTCCTTCATCTGGTCTGCCAGAAAAACAAAACAATAGTCTTGCAAAAACTTATTATACTGCAAACATTTTTGAGTGTGCTATTCAGAAATAAACATTTTAAGTTTCCCTGGAAGTGACATCAGTCTTCTTTAGCAGTTGCTGAAAACTCTGTGGTTTTCTTGTCAAACTTGGGCCTTTGGGTTTTGCTGTAGAGCAGAGGTGTGTAACTCATTTGTTATGAGGGCCGGATCTGACGTAAATGTCACTTTGTCGGATGGACCATGGGTGCCATGAAATGAAACACAAGGTACCAGAGATACAAACTTTATAAAGATGATTTCAGATGCCGAATGGCAATAGCAGGCATGATTGTATTAGGTGTGATATGCAGATGGGTGGAGAAATCAGCATTGGTAATGAGACAGGAAACCTAGGTCTCATTTTGGTACAGGAGGATTCAGTCCAGGAGGATGCAAAGAATAAATGGAAATAAGACTGAAGAAGTGAGCAGTGACTCACAAAAACACATACCCTACCACAATTTTGTTAGTTTTTAAAGGTGCTACAGGACTCTTACTCTTTCTACTACTATTAGAAACCACAACATTCAAACACCAGTGGGGGGACATTTTAACCTTACAGGGCATTCAGTTGCTGACCTAAGAGTAGCAGTTCTCTTACAAAGGAATTTCAAAGGGAGATAAGAGAGACTGCTTAATTGCAACTGATCACAAAATTCATGACAATGCAAACTCCTGGACTGAACTGAGACCTAGGTTTCTTCTCTCATTACCAATGCCTGTATTGTCATTTGGCATCTGAAATCACTTCACTCTCCAAGATATAAGGTCAGATGGACTTACATTCCAGCTGTATCTGAAGAAGTGAGCAGTGACTCATGAAAGCTCATGCCCTGACACAAATTTTGTTAGTCATTAAGGTGCTGCTGTACTCTTGCTTTCTTTCAATAATAAGAAATGCAAAGCTGTGCTGTTAGGTTTCTCTCTCCCCCCCCCCAATCTGTTAGAA